CGAGAGAAGCACCGAGCCATTCGAGGACCTCACCTTCAAAGTCGTCCGCGGGTGTGGACCAAAAACCGTCGAGTTAGTCAAAAGGGTCGGGACCTGGTGGCCCGCCCGCGGGAAGCGGCCCTCCTTGCGCGCCTGAAAAAGCGCCCCCCCCCCCCCCCAGGCTAGTGGCAAACACGTACGCAGCCACCTTAGAGAGCTCCGCCCTGGAGTATCCCACCCCCATGCGAGGGAGCGGCAGCGCCCGGTGTCGCAGGTCAAAGATGGCAGCGGCCGCGTTGCGTAGACTAGCGTTGACCGCGCGTTGCCACATGGCGGCGCCCACCACACTTCGTGGGATGTCGCGAAATCTCGCTCCTGAGGTGGCGACTCCGTCATATCGGTTGAACGCTTTAGCGATCGGAGTGATGCGCTCAGCGTTGACACCTTGCTCCCCGAAGTGGTTTTCCACCTATCTGGGATTTTGAACAAATTTGGTATTGCCTGGAGCAGCCGGTGAATTTCTTGCCGCGGGTTGGCGCGCAGCCCCGCGCGTTGTGGCGGTTTCCACCGAGCAGGTCTTCAAATCCGTCGACGACCGCCTCGTTATCGACGAAGACGTGCACCAGTCTTTCGGCCGCGGCCACCATGCGGAGCATGGCCAGCGCTTGCGCCCGTTACGCGGACCGAGCCAGCGCGTGGACACGGGCAGTGCGGTTGAGCCGGCGGTCGGGCCTGCAATGGATATCGAAGCCTACCCTGGGCAGCAAGGCGTGAACTTGGTTGGTCGTCGCCGCGCGCGCCCTTCCGGCTCCGTGCTCATCGGCACACTCTTGGTAGGACTCTTCGTCTGGGCCCCGCGGAGGCGGTCGCGGGATGGGCTGTGCAAGCTCGTTGTTGACCGGGGCAGCCCATGCGTCGAGAAGGGAAGTATCTTCTTGCAGCAGGCCACGGTTCCTGGCGCGTGGCGGGAGATCCTGAGGGCAGTCCTCCAGTTCCCCCAGCGCGGACATCTCCACGCCGCGTGCTCCTTGATTTTCTTCTTGGTCGCGCCATATGCGCAGGGAGAGGGGTCAGTCGAGATTCCAGCCTTGGCTCTTATCGGCTGGGGGCGGTTGCCGCCGCAGAGGTAGCTATAGAGGAGGCCCAGTTGCCGGGCAGCGAACTCGGCTTTGCCAATTGGTTCTGGGGAACCACTCGCTAGCAAAACAATCCAATGCACCGCGGTCGCGCCTTGCGGTTAGGACGCGTCGGAGACATGGACTCCGTCGCGCGGCTCTGAGCGCGTGGGCCACAACGGACTGCGCCCTTCGGTCCGCGGGGATTCGCCTATCCCATGTCCGCAAGCATGGAGACGCGGGGTAGCGGCTCAGGCACTGTGCCCGCGCGTTGGCGAACATGCGCGCAATCTACCATCGGGAAGCGCCGTGGCCTCTTCGGTGGCCCCTCCGTCGAGGCCGCCCGCTCTTTCGGGAGGTCTCGTTCTGATGAAATGAATGAGGACATCATCTGCGAGGATGAAAGGCTCGGCTGGTGCCGGCTCTGAGGGTTCCCGGTGGCACTCCAAATTGAAATCCTTGCATGCGGGTGCGACCTCGTCGTTTCGCACGGAACGCTCCCAAGACGGTTTCCCATGCTTCGGTCGTGAAGTTGATCGTGGCGTTGATGTCTGCATGGGTTCGGCCAGGTTAACTTTGGCATGGAGGGACGCGGTCGTCGCAATCACAGTCGTCGTCGGAATCGCTGGGCGCGGTGACCTGGGTTAGCCATTTGGGCAGCGGCTCCGTTGTCTTCGGTGCCTACTGGGGCAGGTCTGGCCTTGCATAACAGCAGGAAGATCGGACGTTCTGCCATGGGGCGCCCCGCCTTCCCCGATTTGGCTGCGAGAGGAGTGGCGCAGCAATTTGCGCGCGGGGTGACTGCTGACAAAGACGCGGTCAAATGACTTCGCGCCAGCAGCCTCCTTCCGCGGCCCTGTCAGCCGCTCCCAGCCACTGCGTCGGATTCGCTCAAATTTCTGAATCCTGGATGGGAAAAACCTGCGTGCGCGCGCGCTCTGTCGGAGTCTGTCGGTCAGCGAGATCACAAGTGATCCACGGGAACTTAGTGGACCCCGACTTCGCGGGGTCGGGGTCGGGCGCGAACGGGTCGCGGGGTCGGGCGCGAGCAGGTCGCCGGAGGGGCCATCCTAGAGGGTTTGCTTCATTCCTGCTGATGTCCGCACTTCGGCATATCTTGCCCACCCCCTGTCGCTGATGAGGTTGAACAGCTCCGCGAAGACACGCGTGGCCGACGCTCACGCCCGGGACCTTTGAACCGCGCCTCGCAGGGAGCGTGCAGCGCGTAGGCGGTTTGTCTCCAGTCCGCTTGGATTCCGATCATCGCGCGGGCTGGTTCTAGCGGGGGCGTTCGATTCGGGCGCTCTCCGCCGCCTCCACCGAAATGGGGGCGACGCTCGCCCCTTCTCCCGCCTGCTGGTGCCAAGCCGCTTCTACTAATAGGGCCGGCGCCCGAACTGCGTCCGTCAGCCGCGGCGACAGCGTCGCCGCAACTGTGCGCAACGGCGTTTGGCACGGTTCTGGGTGCAGGAAGGCCCCCGACTCCCCTCGAGCCATCTGGT